ATGAATAACACAGCAGCGGCGCGTCTCGTGGGCTAGACTAACAAAAAAATGTAAATGCATTCAACGCCACTTACATCATCAATGCATCTCGCGCGCCACTGATGACGCTCCCTGACGCACTCCTAACATTCAAATGCAAATGTTTATTTTAAAATCCAATAATATTCATTCTTTATTCACAATCTCCTCATCACAGGCAGGTACAGCACTCATTTCAGCATGTGTTCGTGTTTGTGTGTGCTGTCTGCGTCACTCATAGCACGTGCCTATATTGTGCGTGTCCGTCTACAAAAATGCACTGAATATGCGTTCTGTGTGAATGGCTTGGTTTCGGTTTTAACCTAATCAGGATCTTCTCCGCATTGAGCCTCTATATTTCTCTAATATTTTGAATGAATAACACAGCAGCGGCGCGTCTCGTGGGCTAGACTAACAAAAAAATGTAAATGCATTCAACGCCACTTACATCATCAATGCATCTCGCGCGCCACTGATGACGCTCCCTGACGCACTCCTAACATTCAAATGCAAATGTTTATTTTAAAATCGACTAATATTAATTCTTACTCCTCATCACAGGCAGGCACAGCACTCAATTCAGCATGTGTTCGTGTTTGTGTGTGCTGTCTGCGTCACTCATAGTACGTGCCTATATCGTGCGCTATATCGAACAATTTTTCTATCGATATCGAAGGTGTACCGATACCGAAATATCAATACCGTTTTATCGCCCAGGCCTAGTATCAGGATGCATGTGCGTGCTTTGATCTGCACGTAAACAACGCATGCGCGTGGTGCTGCTGACGTGGAATACACATGCGCTGCGTCTTGTGTTTTTGCGAAACAAAAAGTATTCTCGTAGCTTCAAAAAATTACGGTTGAACCACTAATGTCACATGGACTATTTTGTCGATATCCTTGGTACCTTTCTGGACCTTGAACGTGGTAGGACCCTTGCTGTCTATGGAGGGCAGAAAGCTTAATTTCTGTTCCAAAGATGAACAGTTTTACGGTTTGGAATGACATGAGGGTGAGTAAATAATGAATTTTCATTTTTGGGTGAACTGTCCCTTTAAAGAGAACAGCATTCATTTAAAAAAAATATTTTGTGACAAATGTTTTACTGTAAATGTAACAATGTGTTACTAAAAAACAAACAATGTGAAACAAACAATACAAATTTCCTGTGCTGTTATAAAAAAGTATGGCACTCGGAATAAAGCTTGTCCAATCAAATTAAATGACCAGAACTCTATTCTATTCTATTACAAAAATATCCAAAGGCATGCGGCAGCTCTACACAACACCAAAAGCCAACAAATTTAATCTAGTCTCCTAATGAGGTTGAACAGTCTAATTTTCACAGACTCAAATGTACTGTTCTTACACAGGAATGTAAAAAGATCCAAATTTATTCTGAATGTCCGTAAATAGATTGCAGGCATTTTTGCATTGGAGAAAAATTATAAGTGAAAGAAAAACAATACCGAATGCAACCAAAAAGAAACAGTCACTCTTGATTTCAGCTGCAATTTTGAATGCATTTAATGAAGGAGGGAAAGCGCTGACTGACCAATTACTAAAAGCACAAGCCTAGTTTTCAGTTTTGGCACAGGCTGAGGAGTATACTTGCAGTTTAATTTATCGGCCTCATTATCATAACAATGATGCATGGGAACTTGGGAGTGGAACAATGTAATTATGTATAGAAATATGATTGGTTCATTTCCTTTCCATCATCAATTCTCTGCCATTCAAATCCATGCTGATTATTTGACATAACTTACGTCAAAATCAATAAATATACTGGAGATATGCAACTAGCCTAGTTCTCTGATTTAGTGACAGTTCCGTATGCAACATTTAAACAAACACACTTCTGACTTTCATTTTGTCCTTTAAACTGCTTTCGAAATGATATGTTACTACATGAATCTGTACAGATAAGACCATGAATATTGTGCACGGTATCAGTGTTAACTTCGGGGTGTATGCGTCGAGGTCAGTGAAATCTAAAGTGTAATGAGCCCTAACAATTCTGTTGCACTGTACTGTCATTCATCATCTAGCCAGGCATCCAGCCACACTGCTGCTGTCTGCACAGGCGTGAAGACACATCCTGGGCATGCAACCATGACTCTAATACCAACAGCTTCGAGGACATACAGAAAGGGACTATGAAAATAACCTTAACAGACATGTAGTTTTGATAATAAAAAATGTGCTTTTTGGATATCATGCTCTTACCATTTATTCAAAACTGAAAAATACTCTGACACTAAATCTGATATATGTACTTCAAACTCTGACCAGTGTCACTGGTTCAGTTCAGATGCAAGCTATTTTGTATACTGAACAAACACATCAATAGCAGTGTCATAAGCTAAATAGTATGGACTGAGCACCGAACGCTTTAAAATGTGCAGAAATCACTGCATAATGGATGATACAAAAATGCCCCGCACCTCCCAACCGCACAGCAGCAATTTCAATAAAAGCAGTCCCTACTGGTTGAAAATAAGCCTATATTTGCCTTATTGTGAGTTAGTCTAGCAATGTTCGAATGTCTGAAAATGCCTCCCAAACAATGAAGCAAATCTGCCAACTAGGCCACAAGCAATGCATTTGGAGAAGCCCACAATTTTAAAAGAACCAGTTGCTAGGGAACCATGCCATATTACAATTGAAAATATATTTCTAAAATAAATCTCTCAACAAATGTACCGTTTAAGGAGTTTAAATGTGTTGTGCAACTCTTCTGGGAAAGTTACAGTCACAAGGCCCATAAAGGTTAACTCTGTTAGGCAGTTGTATCTTAAGGGTAAAATGACAAACTAGCATCACCTCTACAAATTACAATAAAAAGGCGTGTGTGTGTTTTTTTTGCATAAGCAGTATAGGTCTATAAGTGACCTCGTCCAGGTGGTTATAAACTACATTATGTTTTAAAACATAATCAAAAATGACCAAGTTTCCAAAATATCTCATTTTCATGGATCAAATGCACTGTATGATACGGAGTTTCTGCAGTTCTACTTAGCATGCTGACCAACAGGTTCCTGCATAAACATGTCTTACCTTGTGTCTGCATTTCAGGACCACCCCATAGGCTCCTTTGCAAAGAAAGAAAAGCTTAATAAGCTTGATTTATACCATATATGGCTTATATGCACAAGCAACTGTTTTATAAGCACTAAGATTAATGTTTTTTTCTCTTTATCGAACGATATTAAAAAAGATGCACTCACCCTCTCCTACAATCCCAAGGACTTCAAATTTATTCATCACATTACCGATGTCAGGAATCTTCATGAAGTCAAAAGATGCTGAGGTGGTGCATGTCTGGGCTGTGAGGAGCGGAAGGCCAGAGGATGGGACAGAAATCGGTGCTTGAATTGGTCATTGCAGCAAAAATCTGCTCCCGGCTGGTCACAATGCTCTTCTCATAATCCACACACACTGACACACATTCCTGCAAACTAACACAGTACGCACGCACACACACACTCTCTCTCTCTCACCTGAAGAGAAAGAGTACAGAGGTTTTGCATAGAAGGGGTCAAACAGACTTATTCATGCATACTGCATCTTATATATTTCACATATGCATCAAATCAGATATCCAATGTTTCATCTAATGCATACATTGATTGCAGCTCATATTCTGTCTCATTTCACTCAGACAGGATAGGTGTAGGATCGTCATGATTCGGTTTATCTGAGGTGACAATAAACAATGGGCCACAGTTCTTCAAGACTGATCATTATGAATTTTTCCAGCAGTTTTGGGAATAGCAAAACAACACAGCTCTGAATGAGAATTACAGGTGGGTGAACAAGGACAGTCTGAGAATGCTCTCTCCCAAACCAGAAGTCAGTGATGTAATGTGCTGAAAACCCAGATGGACATCATCTCAATCACCTCAGATGTGCGACAGGTATCATCTGCGCTCGATTTGAGGGCAGTACGCGTTGCATTTACACTTAAATGCGTTTTCAGATGCGTTTCGCAAGTCATGTCGTGACACCGACAGCTCCTTGTATGTTTGTGCATTGTGCATAAACGCGGGCGCATGTCTGCATCTGATGTGTTGTGCGGTATGCGCGCGCGTACGTGCGTAAGTGCTAGAAATATTCGTAGGTGGATGAAAGTTCTATCATTATTTTAAGCATCTTATCCACCTGACAGTATCAAAAAATGACTGACAACCCACACCGCTCCCACCTACTCTTAAATGAACATAAAAAAAATACGGTGCGGTAAAAAAAAATCACAACGATTTATAACAAAGTGCCTAGCCAATATAAAGATAATTTACATAACCAATACTGTCTTAAACGCGTGGCATAATTGACAACAGGTGACTTTGGTGTTTGTGCGAAACACCAACGATGTACCAGCCACAAACATCTAACATCCAGCGTAAAAACCAAGCGCACTGTCAATATTGTACATTTATGGAAAAAGCTCCGACCAGAATACTCACTTATGTCCAAGACAACGATGCGCAAACCGTCCCCTCGCGTCACCAAGTAACGATGTTTTCATTTTCACCTGCAGTGGTAACCCATCATTACAGCTGCAACAGTATCCACCTTCGTTCTGAGCCATTGACAACCTAACAACGCCAAATTACGGATCACAGTACGGCGACGGCTCGCTTCATGAATATTAAGCACGTCGCGCTGACGTTGCCTGGGAACCTTGCGAGTGCGTCCGGTCACGTACTCTAATTAATATTCATGAGCCATGCCTTCGCTGTAGTAGGGTCTATAAATTGGCGTTCAGGCGAAGCGACACCAAACTGAGTGAGTGGCGGACTGCTCACACCAGTAGCGTCCGAACCGAACCCGTCTATGGCCAATCACGATGAAGGAATGCTCAGAATGGTCCAGAAGCGAGGGCTGGGGTTCGGTTGAGCAATGATACATTTCATACATGCATACATCCAAATTGATGTGCTCGTTTGGCGAGGCAGTGCTTGGTGTGTGTGAGTGGGTTGAGCTGGAAGATCAGTTTAGCAGACAGCTCACACTGTTTATTCTGCTGAGAAGAGGAAGAAAAAGCCTTTATAAAGAAGAAGCCTTTGTAAATTATGACTGAAATATTACGAATTATTATATTGTGTAAATCTATCTATCTATCTATCTATCTATCTATCTATCTATCTATCTATCTGTCATATGCTAGCCTATGTGTTTATGTTTTAAACTTATATTTTTCCTTTTTGACGCTCATTCATTTATCTCTGAGCTATGCAGTTATGCTAAATATTGCGATCGATCTTCAGTTTTGTAGCTACATTTTTTAAAATTTGTATTAGCCTATTATTGTTATTATTATTTATTATCATTATTGGTGAGTATTATAGCATGCCAGATCGTAATAAACCTATTTTACGTGCAAAACGCCTATTTTTTTCCCTAGTAGAAATCATTCAAAAATAATTAAAATTTTCAAGAATTTTTCAAGAAATTAATTTTCAATAGCCTATTGGAAAACTCAGGACAAGCAGACTGCATGAATTGATTCTTCGGGAAAAGCGCATGGTGCCATCTAGCGATTATCCTGATTTAAAACGTAGAATCAGATGAAATGCATGAAACTTAATAATAAATTAATAAATGATATTCCAACAAGACTAGACAACAGAAATATTATGGTAGCCTATATTATGGTTATATTATGGTTCTAGCAGAAATATAGTTTTGTTGATACGTGTTATCAGCACACTCTTATATTTAATGTGATACTATTTCTATAAGCAAAACCTTTTTAAGTTGTCAATAAATAATTTATTTTAATAAACAAATGATACGTGATGATCAATTATGCGTCTTTGCGATATCAAACCAGATAATGAACAATGGATGCCCATCATGCTTCATAAATTGCATTTTTATATTTAATTGCAACATCAATGCACATTAAATAACTTTACATTCAGCATATAGTTTTTTTTTCCAACTCAATAACAATCTGTAAGCAATACAGCACACATCCACTTGAATTTCATTCTACTAATACTTTTTAGATTCAATTCAGTTGCAGAACGTTTCCGCTTGTAGCTAAACGTGCATTTGTAAATGAATATTGGACGTTTGAAAATCACTTTCACCAATACAAAATGATCTGTAGTTCTTCAATGTTCCATTGATATAAATTGGAAGGCGCAGATGCTGCTGGACATGCGCGGATGTGCGAAACATGGCGGCCTATAGACCCAATGGAAAGTAAAGCAGAACAGCAGCTATCCGACCTTACACGGTGAGCAAACATTAGTGGCACATTTTTCATATTTATTATAGTGAATCAATTGTGCTGCAGTGTATTGTGCATCTAATGCGGTTTTTAAATTTCACAGTCATTACACTGATGCGGAAGTTGCATGCACGTTTACATGTGAGATGATGATACTGTGTATGCGCGTCCTGTGTAGGCTATTCTTCCCTGAACTAAAACAGCTCCCTGCTTCTCTCTAATTGGTACACTGGTGCTGAGTGCATGCGGAAAACTATTTTCAGTGCATCGGAAATTATGTCTGATATATGTGTTATGTATTACATGCATATATTTGCTTAGTAAAACAATGAAAATAATTATTGTAGTTTTTAACACTGCCGTTTCAGATAGAAGCATCTGTCACATTAATGACAGAAGGACAATTCACTGTTTAGCTGTGACACTCAATGTTTCAATTATTTTGTCTCAGAAAAAGTTATTAATATAATTTACTCGTACATTTTTGTTTTCATTTTATTATGCTTAATATAATAGAATATTTCATTCAATTGAAGGATATTTTCAATGCATCATTCATGTGTTGTTTTAGTAAGCTATCATTGAGATATTATTTTAGTTTTTATTAATATTTTCCATTTTAATTTTAAAGTGTATATATATATATATATATATATATATATATATATATAATCTAAATTAAAATGAGAAATGTTGCCTTGGCAGTTTATTTTTGTTAGATCGTATTTTATTTCAGTTTTTTTTATAAAGTAATACACTTTTTAATGGTTTTAGTTGTTGTTATAGTTAATTGTAATAATTTTAATGCAGATAAATATTTTTTACACATGAAAACAGCATGAAAATAAAAACAAACAAACATTTATGCTAATCCTGTAGCAATATAGAACTATGTATAACAATGTTTTTACATGATAATCTGAGGGTTTTGCATTTATAATTTTAATGCTTTTGTTTGTTTGTTTGTTTGTGTGCTTGTTTTTTTAACCAGCACTATCCGATGAAACCAGAACTTTTTTAAAGAATAAAAGACCCCATCACATCAATGCATGAGATTAATTAGATCTAGGCATCTCTTGACATTTTTTTCATCTGTGAATTCGTAATATCCATTTTCACCCCCTCCCTGCTTTAAAGTAGCCATGTCTGAAGAGAAAGCTTCCTGTCTGGGGGGTGTGGTGCAAGGGCCTTGAAAAGACAGACGGACAGAGAGAGAGCACAAAATGTAGACATCATCTGTTAATGGGAGGTGTTGGAATCCTTTTGATGTACTGCTGCAGACTCCCACAAATGCACACTGGCTAATGACCTTTTTATGGGGGTTTGGAATCTTTATGACGACTCTCTGAATGGGATTCACAGCTTAAGACAGAAGAATGAGGAGGAGAAGAGAGGGGGAGAGAGAGGGGTTGTCTGCTATCTAGACACAAGTGGCTAGTAGTTTCAGAGCAGAAACACTGGTGTGACATTGAAAGGACTGCATCTCTTTTTCCTTGCAAAAAGGACTTGTTTTTTTTGGGAATTTTTGGTTTTAACATCATCTGGAGTTTTCCCTGAATCCTTTGGCTGGATAAACAAGTAAGAATAAAGTAGAAATACATGTTTTTTTTATCACACATCTCTTGAAAAAAACTTTTTAAAATGTACCTTGTAGTTCCGATATGCCTATAATTGCCTTTATATTTCCAGTGATTTTTATTTTAGTTTTATCTAAATTCTCTGAAAAAGTTATAAATATGATTGGAGTATATTTTACAAGAAAATGCTATCTGGCTTTCTTTTTCAGAATTTCACATTTAATTCTTTGTAATTATTTGTGAAATTTACTAGCAATTTTTTTCAGTCACTATTTTTTTCAGTGTGTAGTTGGACCGTAATAACCACCTAATATTTACATAGTCTTATATTAACATTTGTGTACGCAAGATGTAATAACAAGGCTTATAAAACAAAACTTACAAGCACTTAACTGTACAAATTAGAGCAGATTAGATATACATCTTATCAGTTTACAAACATTAAATACTGAAGGCTCTATTATATTTGTTAATAATTTCACTTTTGCAAACTACAAAAAAAAGAAGAAGAGTATTTTCAAAAGATTAATTTACTTGTTGATGGGACTAAAATGGTAGCCAAGACCCTGTTTTTCAGTCTGTATTTGTTTTTAATTTAGCTTTGTTGAATATCCCATTGAGAAACATTAAGTGGACTAACAGAGGAATAAAAAGGAAGCTCCTCATCCTACTGTCAGCTCACACTGGACGTCAGCTGCAGCCAATTTTCTCCAAACTGAGATGTGACTTATGACTTGCTGAGCGAGCCGGGGGCTTTGATCAGTGAGCACAGGGTCCCTCAGAAGCTGCAGTAACTTATTATGATGTCAAATAGAAGAAAAGCTTTTCTTAGTCGCGCTTTGATTCTCTAAAGGTATTTGTGATTTAGTGATAATCTTTTTTTTTTTTGGACAGTGCAATGTTGGTGGAATAAATTGCACTCAGATGCTAGTAGGGAGTATAAAGTATAATCCCTGTCTTCCGTAATGCTGTAATATGGTTTCCGTGACGGGTTCATGAACTCATGGGCCAAAGCTGAACTCTCTTGTGATAAAAGAGACAAAGAGACTGTTATTTACAAATAACAGGATCTTACTAAAACTGATTTGAATATAAGTTTATATAGACTTTATGTTTTTAAAAGAATTATGAAGTGTTTGGACTCTATGAATAGTTCAGTATTTTTGTATGTGTATGAATATTTTGTATTTATATTTACAGTATACTACTGGTTAGGGTTATACATTTGGTGTTTTTTAATGCTTTTGAAAGAGGAATCTTATGTTCACCAAGGATGCATTTGTTTGATTAAAAATACAGTAAAAACAGTAATTATTTCAAATGTTATTAAACTTAAAATAATAGTTTTAAATTTGAGTATATTTCAAAATGTAATTTATTCATGTAATGGTAAAGATGAATTTTCTCCAGTCTTCTGTGTCTTTCTCAGAAATCATTCTAATATGCTGTTTTGGTGCTGAAGAAACATTTCTTATTATTATCAATGTTGAAGAAAACCTATGGAAGCCCGTTTCCGCCACTAAATAAAAAATAAAACAAGGTAATTGCGACTTTTTATCTCACAATTCTGACTTTTTTTTCTCAGAATTGTGTGATATAAACTTGCAATTCTGATTTTTTTACTTTATAACTCGCAGTTTGGAGTCAGAATTTCGAGATATGAACTCGCAATTGCGAGAAAAAATCTCAGAATTGCGACTTTATATCTCGCAATTTTGACTTTATAGCTCGCAATTTTGACTTTATAGCTCGCAATTTGACTTTATAG